GTAGAAATACATTGACAGTTGCTTTCCAATCATTATAAGCACCAACTGTTATCTTTATGCGATATTCCCCAGCTGGCAGTGGCAACAAAGCAAAATAGTTTGGCTTTAGAATTAGTCCATCCATGACAATATCATTCTAAAATAACAATAAGCATGGAAATTATAATATAATATTATATATAATAATAATATTCATTAACATTATCTGACCAAGGCATCAGTATGACATTATACAAATCGTAAATAATGTGACTGATCTGCTTATACAAAAAACCAGTAACATTTCGAAAATTTCCTTTATTACCTCTTCGTTGAATTGTGTATATAGAACGCCCTATATATTGTATAATAGATGTTACATTACAAGGACAGGTGTGGTTAATATTTGAATAAGGTACTAAAAATTTTAAAATTATATCCAAGACGCCGACACGCTTTTTATTGCGGAGAAATTCACAGAAATTTACTGTTTTGTTGAACAAGAAGGGTCGGTAACCATTAAATCTTTTAAAAACTTCCACATTTAACTGAAATGCAAATGACGAATGTGCAAATTAAATTTTTTTGGAAAAATGGGGAGATCGTTTAAAATATAATTATAAATGAAATTTCACAGTTCCCCATCTTTCCCCTGTGTGGAAAATTTTCTATTCAGTAAAACGGTAAGTTTTAATATAAAAGTATCTCAGACCAAAATTGTAGATTATAAAATTATTTATAAAAAAATTATCAATACTTTTTTCCTACGAGCCACTGTTTCGGAGATATAACGATTCAAAAATTTAGAAAAGTGGTAATCGTTTTAATATGCATGAGTACGCCTCGTATATACATCTCCAGAGTTGTAATACAGTAGAACCCCGATAAGTTAAAGTCCAGGGGAAACACAAAATATTTTAAGATATAGAGGTTTTAAGTTATCAAGGGTCTATGTTAGGGATAGGTTTATATAAAAATAGGTATGTACATATGTATGTCTGATCTTCTGATATTTTCTTTGATGTACATATGACAGTTCCAACCTCCAAACCACTACACCTATTATCACCCCATAAAGAGTTTTTATTATTCTGAATTTTAGCGAAAACATGTTACTTCATATCTCTACATACAATTAAATAATCACTTCTTTTATGAATAAATATAGTTATTTTTCAAGAATAGAATCATTCATCTTAAAAGGTCACTGCACTTGTACTTCTATCTCTGTACCAACATCTAAATATGTGTTAAATTTTATTCTATACTCAGACCTTCAACCTTCGGAAAGCTAATATGTTATTTGGGTACCTTTTATCTAAGTTAATGATTTTAAGGTCAGTTTATTCATCCGTCGCTCCTTGCTGTTTTAAGTATATTTCTAATTTTTAAGCAACTTTACACCACTTTCTTGGAACCTCAATTATTTGCTGCATGGTTTTTTTAAATTTTTGAGTTTCTATTTAATAAAATCAAATGAATGTTTTGGGAGACGTTTGCACCAGTAGTTTCGCAACGAATTTGAACCTGAAGAAAGTTTGGGTAGTTTACACGAGGATAGTTTGGTTCATTTGGATACAAAAACAAATATAACCAAATTTTGTATTTCCAAATTTTTTTTTTCACAATTTGTGGTCGCGATAAACGGTACTTAATGGTTATTTTGTCAATCAGTTGGTGCTTCATTTTTCTTTGTTCACATCTTATATTTTCGTTTTAAAATGCCGGACAAATTATTATCGCTTGAAGTGAGCTAACATTGTACTATAATCAACAATTGGGCAAAAGTTTTAGGGGAGTATCTGTTACAGGCGACACAGTTGTTGAATTCCGAGGAAAATGAGAGAGGAGAGAACAAAAAAGAAAAAAAAAACAAGAATACCGAATGGGCTCAGTTTAATGATTCGGAAACTTGGCACATATCTTGAATGTTTGGTCTTTCAACTAGTAAATCCCTCCGTTTTCGCCTGACAGTAAGGAAAAACAGAGAGTTTCATTATTTGATTATTAAGTTAAATGTAAATTCGAGGATTTAAATAAACAATTTATTCAAGATATTTTAAAGAAAATGTACAATTTTCTTGAACACGACTTCAAGATCTAACATAATTGTCTAGGGCTTCATCGAATAAATTTCTTCAAAATAGAATACTGTGAATGCGTCCATCGATATAATGCGTTGACTTGATGAAACATCACTTTCTTCTTTTTTAAAGAGGCACGCTTTCCTGCCACTTCATCCTTTACAGGCTTCAATAACGTTATATAATAATCGCTGCTAATAGATTTCCCTCAAATAAGCATTCCAAAATGTTTACACCACAACTTTGCGACGACATAAAATTAATCAATAAAATTGGAACGACCGATCGACCCCAGTTCAAAATAAATGACATTTATCTTACCATGTAATTATAGGTATTTTGTTTTATTTAAAGTACATTAGTAAACAAGTAAGGAAGGGCTAAGTTCGGGTGTAACCGAACATTTCATACTCATGCAACTTGCCAGAATCAAAGCCGGGAAAATACCTTCATACGTTGGCAAAAGTTCATATTAATTAAAAAATGTGGCCAAAGGATTCAAGTCATTGTAAGATGAAATCGTGAATAGATTACAATCAAATTTGTATCTTATTATTATTTTTTATAGGTCATAGACAACATTAGTTTTATTTATAACTAACGAGTGATCCAAGTAGACGCACATTTTTCAATAGCCTTTTTTTAACAGATCGTGTCAAGCTGTTATGTTATTATACAATACTCTCGCAACCTGTTGCTACAGAGTATAATAGTTTTGTTCACCTAACGGTTGTTTGTATCACCTAAAACTAATCGAGTTAGATATAGGGATATGTATATACAAGTATAAATGATGAGGATGAAGAGACGAGTTGAAATTCGGGTGACTGTCTGTCCTTTCGTCCGTCTGTGTAAGCTGTAACTTGAGTAAAAATTTAGATATATTTATGAAACTTGGTACACATGTTTCTTGGTACCGTAAGACGTACGTGGTACTGTTAAAAAATACTAAAAGCGCGATAAATCAAGCACTAAAAACGTCAGAGACATTAAATTTTACTTTTGGGATGTTATGAGATGATATTATAGGAACCGCGTTCCAAATTAGAAAGTGCGAGTGGCACCGCCAACTTTCAGGTGAAAACCCATATCTTGGGATCTGCTTAACCGATTTTAATCAAATTCGATACGTAACATTCTTCTTATATTTCAATGTTATAGTGCGAAGATGGACAAAATGGGATTACAACCACGCCTATTTCCCATAGAACACCATTGTAAATTCCATCTGATTCTTTTACTTTCCACTATGCAAATCAAGCAACAATGTTTGTATGGGGGTAAAACTTTGCGTGAATAATTCGTTTAAAGTATGTCACCTTGTGACTAAAAATTGCCTAAGTCGAACCGAAACTGTTCAAGCCCCTAGGTACGGAATTTGTGGACCCCATTGCCTATAGTTTACTTTTTACCGAAAATATCGGTCAATGTGTAAAATATATTATTGAAATTCATATAATAAAATAAATAAATGAAACTCTCATTAATAGTATGTCTTTAAGTCAAAAATGTGTTGAATCCGATCAACACTTCCTTTAATATAAAATTTTGCCAACACCTTAAGTATTTCCCGGGCTTTGATCCTTGAAAGTTGCGAGAGTATAAAATGTTCGGTTACACCCGAAATTAGAGCTTCCTTACTTGTTTCTTTATACTTTTCATGCTCGTGACTACTGGAAATAACGTTGTAATGGCCGTGTTTTGAATATTTTCCTTTGAAAATCTTTATGATGCGGAACAACAAGAAAAAAGCGAACATGGTTCTAGAGGGCTATGAAGGTGTACCTGTTTTCAGTTGGGACTTTATGCTTGAGTAGAAAGTTAAATTGGCATTCTAAGGTATTTGAGGCTCATAGAAAAAATTTCATGAGTTTAAGACATTACAAGTATGTTCGAGCTGTTCTTATTGTTACTATCTCTATTTACTTGTTCGACAATTCCATGTTTTGGGCGAAACAGGAATAGGTGCGTTCGTATTATATTGTACTCCATAGAAAAAGGAGATATCTTTGATAGTAACACTAAATGTTTTATTAAATATTTTAAATAGATACCGTAGGAGGCTTCGCAAGATGTATAGAGAGGGCTCTGTTAAGGGGTTAGGGGTAGTCAGAATTTTCCAAAAATCTATTTTCGTTAAGTATAAAACCAATTTTTTTCATCCGATTGATTTTAGATGAATCTCCAAGGACTTATGGTTGTCACCGCAATAACCTTTTTTTGGAACTGGGTCAACACAGACAGCTATAACTTTAGAATAAATTTTTTTTTTTTGAAATTTTTGTGACTTCAAGTCAAAACATTGTATAAAAATGCCATATTACTACTTTTGTAAAATAACATGATTTAATAGCAAAAAAAATTGCTGAATATTCTCATTTTTTCATGCCTCTGACTACCCCTAATCCCTTAAGTTATTTCCAGGTTTATCACGTGGCTTCTTCCATGATGTTGGATAGCATCCGAAACTGATAATTGCTTTAAAAAGTAAGAAGAACACTGCGATATCATTTTTGGCGACTCCATTAGCATTATCGCGCATTTCGTATTCAGACTTTCTTTTATGTTCCTTAAAATTTCAGTACACATTATATGGGTTATAAAACGACATTAATTAAAAAAGCTAAGTTACTGCTAGACCTACATATATTATATATTAATATGATATAAAATATAATTGTAATCCATTAACGGAACGGAAATATGAATCATAGCGACAAAAAAATTTTAATCAAAAAATCCGAATTAGGCATTTAAATTATAATATGCAATTTAGGTAAAGTTAATTAATCACGTAAAAAATAATCGCGAAGATATTGGGAGTTATTGAAGTGCAACAACCGCTAGGCTTAGCGCTTTGTTTCAAATTGCTCTAACAAATTGAAGGTTGAAACTGAATTCTATCTCCTCATTCAATTGACATCGAAAATTATTAATATGAAGTTGACAAATTTGAAGTGTGAGAACTACGACAAAGCCTTCCTAGATATCCGAAAATGCGAGCTTAAAGCTTTGTCTCGCGACAAAGTCGCGCTTACCGTGAACATTCAACTCTTAATTTAATTTGGACGTTTATAGTATATTAAAAAAAGCAATGGCTATCGTCCTTTTTTGTTTAATATAACAACAAATTTTTGTCAGTTTTTAGAAAAAATCGAATACCTTTTGGCAAGTTGCTAATGGTTATCTTGGAATTATATTCAAATATAAACCACTCTTGTCCTTTCAACGTTAGATTTCATGTATTGCAATTAGTTTGATATCTATTTTGCAATAGTTCACATGATTTATAGCATGACTTAATCGTCAAAGACTTAGTGTTCCAGACTGAAGATCTACAAACACTACCTGGACCAAATCAATTTTTTTTTGATGAGGTCGATGATGATGATGAACATGAAGATGTAAAAAAGATTCAAAGTAATTTTATAAAAAATAGATAAATAAAGGGTGTTATTTTAGACATGTGGTTTTCAAGAAGAAATAAAACGCATATAGTTTAATTTTATAGCCATGAATGTAACTAATTTAAATATATAAGGGTTAGCCATTTAAAAATGATTTCGGTCAAGAATAACATCCACCCTAAGGAACCAATATTCGCCCACTTTTTGCAGCAATTGTGGTCATATGCGTAGACAAGCGACTCGTAAAAGATCAGGATGAAGAGACGAGTTGAAATCCATACACTACGCCTACTTCTCATATAACACAATTTTAAATTCTATCTGATCACATCCATAACTTTTCAGTATAGAAATGTAGCACCAATGAATACAAGTATAACGGGATAAAACTTTGTTCGAATAGTGCCTTTGCAGTGGCGGTCAATATGTAAGATATCTTAGAAAAATTTACTGAACGTATAATACTGGATATACCTTAGTTTAATGACGAAAATATCTGTAATGCATTATACTACATACATACATATGTATAATGATTTTCGTCATTCTAACAAACCGTATGCCGAATATGTGGGTGAGTGTGTGAGTTATATAATAATAAAAATGTTTAAAAATATGTTCTCGAGTTTACCTAAGTAATGTCAAAAGTTAATGCAACAACCTCAGACCTAATATACCCTGCATAGTGACTTTTAACCGTTATATTAATGAAACGACAAGGACAAGGATTATACAACTATATTAAAAATTTAGCTCTGAATATGAATGGGGTTGGTCTAGACCTTGGTATAAACCTCATATCCCTAACATAATAAATTCCGATCCTGTGGTTGACGTTTTTCACATCAATTAAGTATATTAAATTTAGCTTCTTCGATTGTGTTTATTTCAGAAATATCCTATTTGAGTATTATTTTGGTATAATTTTAGTGGTAAGTCTATTACCTTCAAAATAAGTTAATATTATAACAAATTTGATTGCAATCCTTTCACGATTTCCTCGACCAATGAAGTTGAACCGTTTCGCTATAATTTTTAATACATACGTAAGTATAAAGTTTTGCCAACATCGGATAGTATTTAGCCGGCTTTGATCTTTGCAAGTTGCAAGAGTATAAAATGTTCGGTAAGTCCGAACTTAGCCCTTAGCTAAAGCTTTCATTTATTATTTTGAAAACCCAATTTGTGCCTCTTATAGTAAATATCTTTCATATATCAATCACCTGACCTCAATGGAGCATCTATGGGATCTGTTGGAAAAAAAGAATTCGTCAGCATACAATAACAAGTTTTGCGAGATTTGCGAAGTGTTATGAAAGAAGAATGGTCCCAGATTACAGCTGAGGAAACAGATATTTTCTTTATTATTTTTAATACTTTTGTAACTAATTTTAAAGCTGAACGCAGACTTAATGGTGCCTATGTTTACTACTCCTTACACTAAAATCCCGTTATCACAAAAATTAAAATAGGAATATACATTTTTGTTTTTGCATTTTGAACTTAAAAATATAAAGAAGAAATACATGTAGAAAATTTGAACTGAATTAACTATTTAAATTGTGTTTTTACTTCACTTAAAAAATAGTGTCGGGTGAACGCAGACTTTATTAGCTATGTGTACATACATACATACATAAGTCTGACCGAAAAATGTTATACACCAACGAAAAAATAGGAACAGATAAGTATATTAGGTCTGCATTTTTAATTTTGCAATAATTTCCATACTACATATAATATTGATGTTTGGAGTAAACTCAGCTTCGAACTACGAAGGTAATATTTTTATTTGGAGGCTAAGTTCGAAAAACGGAGAATTTTCATTTTTGGTTATGACGAAATCTTTCTAAAACAAATTTGTTTATTAGTGAAAACAAATTTCTCTCGAAATTTATTGCAAAAACAGTCTCCACCCCTTCTATCGTACGTACTTCAACAGACCGTACTTTTGACAAATTTAGTTTGATACTGGCGGTAAGTATGGAAGGGAGCAATGTCGGTGACTGTTTGTGCTATTAAACATCCACTTGTAAGCTAACATACATTCCTTCAACATATAGACCGTTATCAATTTGTGATTGTAAATAACACTTACTCCAACATACGTATGTTATGTATGTTAATTTCTTTTGCTTTGTTAACATACATTGGCCTACCTTTATTATACTTGTAGCATTTAGAGAGATACTATACTAATATTGAAATGGTGAATTTAAATTAGCTTCTATTGTCTTGTTCTATTCAAAGTGCGAAAAAATGTATCATAATGATCATAATGGACGTGGTAAAGAAATATGTTTAGAAATAATTTTAGAGGTGTACAAAGCATACTTAGAAATGACATACATAATTGTATGTATGTACGCAAGTATTTTTAGCACTGTTCGTGTTACGTCACACTAAAACTGGATTGTCAGCAGCTCTCAGAGGTACAATATACATATGTAAGTGTATACGACGTCACTAGTTTCACCATTATGATTTCGTTATGACTGCTTATGTTGTTACATATGTATGTGTATATCTCGTGTTCTCTGAAATACATACTTACACATATAATGCAGTTCTTAATCAGCCCAACAGCATTGACGTCATAAGCTGTGAAATTTCCCAAAATATATTGCTTGTGAACAATGTACAAATGTATGTACATATATATGTCGGTATATACTAAGTAGTGGGCATAAGCAGAGTATGACGAGCGACCGATTGATACCTTCCATGCTCTGTGAATTTGTACTCACATTTCATGTTCTTCTTTTTTGAAACGCTTTGTGTTATTATGCGTAGGCGTTGGCATACTAATAATCGTTCTGATAATACAGCGCGGGGGGGTGTTTTTATTATGAATATTTGAGAACGTGGTCCAGCTGCTTATATGTCTGTACTGATGGCATTTTGGATGGTAATAAAATTAGGCGGAAAAGTAATGAGTCAAATATGCATGTTTAGTTACATATGAAAAACTTTATAATTTTCCAGCAAATGAGTTAAGTCTCTGCTTATGTGTACTAAGTGAGCTAAAATGTGGTTACAATTTGGACTAGCTTTGATCTCGACGTCCAATTGAAGCAACAACGCACATTAATATTAATTTATTGATTGTTTTGTCATGCCCAAGGTACTCTGTTGTGTTTTCGGGCGATTTGAACTACTTTCATCGATCAACAACTATTCAATGGACCAACAATCGGGCTCAAATACTATCCACTATCACAAATCAGCACAAAAATCGTTCTCATTGCGTTTGATCAGTAGTTTGACCCAATGTCAAACCTCTTTTGATTTACATATGTACGTATATATGTATGTAAATTCGTGAATGATATGATTTACGTGTTCCTTTGAAAAGCCAATTATGTTACCTAACTCACTTAATTTCATGCTACTGTTAGCCACCACAATTCACGAATTTTCGTTTTGTTTTTTTGGAATTATTGGCTATTGTGAGGAAGGCCAGCAGCGTGCATTATTTGTGATATCTAAACGATACATAAACAAGAAAAAACGTCAACTTCTGTTGCCCCGAAGCTTTAATACCATTCATAAGAATTTGATTCCGACCGTTCAGTTTGTATGGCAGCTATATGCTATAGTGATCTGATCCGAACAATTTCGTGAATATACCTAGTCAAATGAAAGAGTTTTCCTAATAGCACTTGATTTCAATCGTTCTGTTTATATGGCAGCTATATGTGGTATAGTGGTTCCGACAAATGAGCAGCTTCTTAGTGAGAAAAGGACAGATGCAAAATTTCAGAACGATGTCTTAAAAACTGAGGGACTAGTTCGTATATAAACAGACAGACAGACAAACGGGTATCACTTAATCAACTCAGCTCATCATGCTGATCGTTTATATATATATTTTACAGGGTCTCAGACGTTTCCTTCTGGGTGTTACAAATTTCGTGACAAACAACAAACATAATATCGATCTCATCTTCTCAGATGAGATGAGGCACATTCTGGCTTAATGGCTTCGTCAACAAACAAAATTGTCGCTATTGGGGTGAGTCAAATCCTCGTGTGGTTCAGGAAACGCAATTCCATTCCCAAAAATAGACCGTTTGGTGCAAATCGTAAAAAAATTATCTGCATATGAATAAAAATATAACCAATTTTGACCAAATTTGAGCTCATATTGGAGATAAACATTGGCAGGAGAGAGACATATGTATATATTTGCAAAATTTACTCCGCTAGGAAACTAGGATTTATTTTAGTTCCAAAACCCTATATTTTCTCGGCCATAAGTATATAATTTTTTAGTTTGTTTGATTTGTGGTACGAATTTTTCATCACTCTGTATATTCGATTTTAATCGCTCTTAACGGTTGAATGAACAGAATAAATTGCATCAGGCACTTTGAAATCCCCCATCTAATACCCACATACATACAATTTATGTTCAGTTCATTACTGAACATTTTTGAGGTGATTTGGTTTTCAAATTAATTATGGTCGAAGCATAGCTGAACGGCTATTTGTTGCTGGAACTAATTTCAGATACCGGATCATTAAATAATTTGGCATTAAATGGAATATCGAATATAATAATGGCGTATTTATTGACTATTTTGATCCATAACAATTAAATGTTTAATATAAACAAGATCTAAAATGGCTTTTAATCTGTCAGTCATAATAAAAATGTACTCCAAAATAGTTCGTTGGCATTTTTTGATTATATTTTGCTGCTGTGGACTGTGGTCAAATGTTAGATTGAGAACTCCATTTGTACAGGGTACTCGAATCGTTTTCAAAAATCTACAATGTATTTCGTTCAACGAAACCCTTTTCCGCTTCGAACAATGCCAAATAAAACTACAAAAACGAGGACACAAGGAATTAAATATTTACGGCAAAATGACAAAATCAATTGACAATATAACGGTTTGTATAAGTTAGATATCAAGAACCCTAATTATTTTGACATTATATCCATACATTTTAGGTGAAAGCTGAACTGTTTCGTAAAACCAACGGCTACACCCCATTTATCTACAAATTCACCATGGACTTTTGTGAGTTGAAACGCTATCCGCAACGTCAACCGGTCATGACTATATTCTTCGCATACTTGGAGCAGAATAGTAACTTGAATCACACGTGTCCATATGATGTTGGTTAACTGTGAATATTTGTATTAAGTGAGATAATGCACGAATTTTCTTTAGCATGACATCATTTTGAAAAACTTCGTTATGCCGGAGGAAGTGTTGATGCTGCTGCCATATCCCAAGGGCGATTATATGGTACAGTTAAGCTTCGCTATATACAATGAATGGATCCTTACTGTAAAGGCATTTGTGCAGCTAATTGATTGAAGAGGAAAATATGTATGCTTAGTACAAGTGAATACGGCGGAAGCGGTCAAATATTTTAGAGCTTACAAGCATAGATCGGTAAGCTAATATTAAATAATTAAAAAAAAAAAACCTGCCTTCATACTTTATACAATATTATTTGATTTGAAAGAGGAAGGGGACTGAAATCAGGGTATCTTGGTGACCAATGAACCAATGTCACCTGTTTTCGGCATAGATGTCCTAGAATAATTTCAGATTTCTTTACTACTACTGAACTAATCATAGTACGACAAGACGCCTCGACTTATTGAAACACATAACCGTCCAGATCTTTTTAACAAGTTTGTTCGTAATCTTAGTGGTTCAATATCCATCGACAGTTCCATTTTGTTTGAAAAATTTGGTTGCACACAATAATTTGCTTTCAAAAATCAAATGAAGTAAGTGTTAGCTTTTCCATTTGGAATTCAAAGAAAACAATCTATCTAGTCATTTGGAATCCCAACGACGAACAGTCGGTTTCTGTTGGCCACGATATTTTCGACGATATGTATATTGAAATTACTGTTTTTTCTGAATTATTCGTTACACGATTAGACAGACGTTTTCGAATTCAATGTAAAACATATGTCAAAGTCTTTTCGTGATTTACGCATTGCCTTCCGGTGGAAAATGATAAACCTATACAAGTTGGTGTTTGTCATGACGGATCTTCTCATAAATTCTAAGAGTCTCTTGAAGTCGTTTGAACCGATATACTTATAGGATTACATTAAAATCTCAATATAACATTAATACCAAAAAATAAGTAATATTTGTTTCTTGTTAAAATTTTTAATACACTGTGTACCTTATTGATGTGTGTCACAATTTGTTGAAATACCTACATATATCAGTATTTGTAAAAGCATTCAGAAAAATATTGGTTTATAAAAGAGTCTAAAACCTTAAAGACAGTGACTCACTAATGAAAATCAGGAGAAAATTGACAGAATCGTGGTATATTGTTTTAAATATTTTTTTTAAATAGATATCCGGTTGTTACTTCTGAATTGTTTAATAGACTTTATAATAGAAATACGTTACCGACCTAAGTTCGAAACTTATATATAGCTAAACGCTAATGGTGATGGGAAACTGCCTTTACACTATCTAGCAAAAGAGATGGTGTTCTATTGATCAATACTCCCACATTGCACTATGAGTTCTAGATGCACTGGTCGATAGATTATTTGTTAAAGCTTAAGGCACATTCGCCAATTGGAAATATAAAAAATATAAATGAAATCATTGGTTCCAGCGTTTATCGGTCGTTTAGTGGGACCAGCATACATTTATACATACATTGCATGATCATTTGACTGAAAAAAAATTATTAACCTTGGATTCCACACAATTTGGCAATCACTCAAAAACAGGCTCATATCGATTGGAGTGAAGTGTTAAAAAAATATGATAGCGGTGCTTCGACACATCGATCGAAACAGACATCATGACAGGAGATGACTTTCAAGATGAGCCAAATCCAACAACAGTTGTTCGCGCACAAAGCAGTCGGGATGTAGAGCAGGTTCGCCTCCACGCGGTGCATCCTGGGTAACGCTAAATGACCTGCGGCCTTCACGGCCTTTATAACTCCTACGGATTTGACCTTTGCTCGACATTGCATCGCCAGCTTTAGCAGAGGAACCTCTGTTAAGTACATGGGGGAGGTCCTCAGTGAAAGCTAAGGGCTCCGGGGGGAAGCGCCAGACTACAGCTAAAAAGCTGAAGTCGGACCGTCGGCTGGCTACCAAGATTTTGGAGCGCTACGGTGGCAAGCAGGCTGACCAGGAAACTGATCAGCATGCTAGCACACTTGAGTGGGCCAAAAGGGTGCTAAGCGACGTCAATGTCGGGAAAGGGAGGCCGAGCGTACCCCCCGCGTCGATGAAGCGACAGAGGTCGCAGGAGGGGGAATCCTCCCTCGGTAAGAAGCCTCGAGTCGGAGCGGCACCGATGTTTAGCGAAATCGCTAAACTCGCCAGCTCAATTGAGCTCGGGGTATACGACAGCAGCAGGGGAGATGGAGCCATCTCCCATGAAGAGTGGAAGCGGGTAGCGGGTAGCGGCTGCTATCTCCGCATTGTTCATGAAGGTGGTCAGGGGAAGCCCTGGACCACCCCCTAGATGTGAAAGTGCCGGGTGGAATCTCGGCTTACACAAGCTTGTAAGGTGTGCCGACGAACGGTCGGCATTCCTTTATAAGGAGGCGGTAGCCAGGGTGGGGGAAGTATGGAAGGGAGCAAGGCTCGAGGCGGTGGCCAAATCGGATCTTCCGATGCGACCTCGTGCTCGTGTCTGGCTTCCGGCCGAACCCTCCACCCCGACCGAAATTGAAGAGATATTGCGGTACTGCAATCCATCTCTTCCCACCCAGGACTGGAAGGTGGTTAGGCTGGAGAGGACCGAGGAACCATATCGGCAAGCGCTGATACTCCTAAATAAGGAGTCCCTCGCTCCTCTCAGCAGTGCAAAGGGGGCCATAAGCTATGGCTTCGAGAGGGTCGTCCTCAGGATTCTCCCAAATGAAGCCAGGGCTGATGGCCCGTCGCCACCAGCTGAGGTGGAAGAGAGTGGGAGAGCGACCCACTCTAAAATGGATATCGACCCCATCCTCTCGGATACGGTGAGCACGGGGGGCGGATCGTCAGTCGATGATGGATCCGTTTTCAGTCTCGACCGTCTGTTTTAGGCTGCTGGGGTCGATAGTACGGATGAAGGTGCGGAACTCGCACTGCTGGGGAGGAGTTTGGAGGATGAGGATCCTCCAAATTAACCTCCAGCACTTGAAGGCGGCATCCGCCGATCTAGTGCTTCGTCTAGGACGGGACGAAGCCGACGTTGTCCTTATCCAGGAACCGTGGCTGAGCAGCAACGGTATCTCTGGCCTAAGGACAAAGAGCCACAAGCTCCTGGCCGCTAACAGTACAGGTAGAACCAGAGCCTGCTTGTTGATCAGAAACGAACTTAACGTTTTTCTTTTACATAATTTCAGCAACGAGGACGTCGTCGCTGCTAGACTGGAGGACAGCGCTGGAGAACTCTGGCTGTTCTCAGCCTACATGCCGCACGACGACGAGGTGGAGCCACCTCCGAACCTGCTGAGAAGAGCCCTGGCAGTGGCCAGGCGCAAAGGAGCCGGTGTCTTAATAGGCTCGGATGCAAATTCAAGGCACACCGTCTGGGGGAGCTCGGACATTAACACAAGAGGTGAGTCACTCTTTGATTTTATTTGTAGAGTAGATCTTTCTATTTGTAATAGGGGGAACAGCCCTACTTTTGTTACTGCTAGCAGGGCGGAAGTCCTTGACATTACGCTAGCCTCTAGAGAAATCGCTCCCTTGATTTTGGAATGGAGGGTTCTAGACGACTCACGGATGGATCGAGGCTAGGAGGGAAGGTTGGAGGGGGGGTTTTCTGTAAGGAGCTCTCCGTCAGTCTTAGCTTCAGGCTACCGGATCACTGTAGTGTTTTTCAGGCGGAAGTGGCTGCTATTAAGGCGGCGGTAGAAGTACTGCTGCGTAGTGCAGCCTCGTTTGTAGAAGTGAGCATTCACTCTGATAGTAGGGCAGCAATACTAGCTTTGAGGCTCGTTTGGGTGCCTGGTCACAGCGGAATCGCTGGAAACTGCAAAGCCGATGAGCTAGCCAGGGGGGGCACCTTTGCCCCGCTCACATCGGAATGGGATCGGGTAGGATCTCCGTTAGCGTCCTGCGCTCTAACTTTGGATCAATGGACCTCGCGTGCACTCAACAGACGTTGGTCGACGACTAGGTCCTGTGCGACCGCGAGATCCTTCTGGCCAAGAGTGGATCGCAGCAGGTCGGGGGAACTTCTCGCCCTGAGCAAAGTGCATCTGGCCGCTATTGTCCAATGGGCACTCATGCGGTACGGCTTGGTGTACTACCCGATGCCAGTTGCCAAAGTTGTATGGAGGAGGGCGAGGTGGAATCATCCCAGCACTTTCTCCTCCAACGTCCGGCGTTCGCTAGGCTGCGATTGAAATATCTCGGCAATCACACGTTTGGCGGTCCTGAATACCTATCCGTAATGGATATTGGCCGTCTTAACAAGTTTGTAGTCAGCACAAGACGTCTCGATGGTTGCCTGTATTTTTGAAAACCACGACGCAACCATACCACTAGACCTCGCAGAACAGGAAATTCTGAATGGTACGTAATCATTTTTTTGCCAGTTGTCTTTGAAGAAATCAGGTAAACCAACCGCCAAAGACGGATCACTCTTCACCACGGCAATAAATGTTCTCACACATCGACTGAAACAACTGTATTTTTGAGCACCGAAAACATCAACAAACGGTCATTCACCGTATAGTCTTGATTTGGCACCGATTGACTTTTTTCTATTCCCGTACGTAAAAAATAAACTAAGAGGTCAACGTTTTTCGACACATGAAGAGACAGTTGATGCGTTCAGAACGCATGTTTTGGAACTACCTCAATCAGAGTCACATAAGTGCTTCGAAAATTGGTTCATACGCTTGCAAAAGTATGGAACTTAATGGAGAATATTTTGAAAAACAATACAGCGGTTTTCGATGATAAATATTTGTTTTTGTTCTCTAATCCAGAAATATAAAAAGCAAACCACGTATACATTTTATAGGGTATTCGACGTTTTCTTCTGGATGTTATTAACTCTGTGGCAAACTTAATATACCCTGTTCAGAGTGTAAATCAGGATTAGTTTGGAGACATTTTTAAGAAACAATAAAGCCGATTTAATCCTAAAAATGTATATATAAAAACCTTTAAAAACTAAACAAAAATCTTGATATATTGTAGTTGTATTCAGCGTGCTTGAACTGTACTGAATAGATTAGAAAACATGTTTGAATCATTCTATTGTATACCCATATGAGCATGTGTACATATATACCTATAAAAATCCCCAACCTTTTTTTCAGGTATTAATCAAATTTTTTGTGAATATTAAAAGGTACTGGCAATAGTTTAAATGAGAGGTGAACATTTTGTCTGATTCATATAAATGAACCACCCTAATTAATAGAAAAGAACATATAGTAGGTTCACACTCATATTTGTATTTTCAATGCGTTAATATTAAAAACTGTTACGAAAGAATTCAACATGCAAAGCATCAAAGAACTAGAATGGATTACAATCAAGTTTGCTATTTTTTCAACTTATGTACATATACTTGTATTATAAGTCGTAGG